GGGAAAAGGCTTAGGGGCTGGTTTTCGTTAGTCGGGAGAGGCGATCTGTAACCATCAAAATTGCGTGGAATGCTTCCGCTGGTGGAGCCCGAGCTGTTACTTAGCGTCTCTATGCTTCCCTCTCGCTGCAGCTCTGCAAGGGGAAGAGAAAACAGGCCCTGGTTAATGTTTCAGATAAAAGAATGAAGGTTACCATTAGAAGGCCACTTTATTGACAAATCTGTTTATTGTATCCCTGGTCTAACATTACGTTCGCTTGTCATCCATCTTTTACTGGGTGATTTGACGAATCACTCCAGAGGCAACCCGACTGCCGGTTCTACTTCTCCGCCGGGCTTGTGTTTCAGCCCCAACGTACGTGGGATTTTATTAAGACTTTACGCGTTGTCTTGCGGATGTGGTGTGTCATTGCTCTTTTGGGGGGGCGGGGGGACAATTAAAAGTGATTTGCAGGAGGTGCCAAGGTGCCAAAGCTCGGTGTCGCAAGGTGGAGCTGAGCACAAGGATGAGAGGCTGGCTGACGAGCAATGAAATAGCCTCGCTTGCTAGAAAAGGAGCTCGCTAGCAGCGACCCGCAACGTCTGTGCTTGACCGACGCAGTTTGACACGGTAGTTCCCCACCTCTTTGTGCACCATACACTGATGGGAGCGTCCCCACGGCTTGCGAGCCCCTTTGATGAGGCTGGTGGAGGGGAACGTAGAAACGGGCCGTGGAAGAAAGGTGATGAAGCTGTATCGACCACGGAGGCCTGGATGAGGCTCTGCGCAAGCTTGGGACTCTAAGGCTACTACTAGCATTTGGGATTATTCCCCTCTCACCCGTCGCGCACGCTGATAAGTCGAAGCCTCCCCCTCCTGCCCCCGGCTGACCTCCCAAAGCCTTTGTTGCTTCCTAATCTCGAGACGCCGGTATTCTTGCGTGCGTGCCGAATATCATTTCTAACTGCAGCTCTCTGCGAGCCACTTGAACCCAACAGTCGACTCGGTGGCAATGCCGCTGGACAGCATCACGCTCTCCAGCACTCAGCGACGGCACGCAGCGGTGATACGAGGCAGGGCCCCGCATCCAGTGCAGAGAGACTGCTGCAAAACTGCTCCTCGCAAGGCCTGCTCAGTCCTCCCTTTCAAGCAGGAGGGATAAAAGCAAAGTATACGACCAGTACCGTGAAGTCTCTACGAATTCTGCTGGGAGAGGAAACCTGGGTCTGTCTGTAAGCCACTGGCCGTGATTAAGAGACTGCTCCAAGACGCTCAGTGAAGTGTGGGTGCGGAGCGAACACATGGAGCAGACGGACAGATTTCCCTGTTGACTTCAGTGGGAACACTGCTCGAGCGCGCTGATTAGGAAGTGACTAATGGACTTCAGGATTTGGATGAATGGCTCCCAGCGCTGTTCCCTGTCAAATTTTCCTGCACCTTTGCCATTCACAGGCTTCAGTCTCATCCTGGGATTCCAGCTCATTTATAAATGTCCGACTGTCCCTTTGCTGCAGCGGGACCCAGAGATAAGGACAGATCTCGGCGCAGAAAGTTCACAGTCTCACCTTCATTTAAACCCAAACTATCCCGTTTAAGTAGCGAGCGCCCCGTTCCCACTGGCATGAATGTGACTCGTGTGTCCACCGATGGGATAACAGATCCGTTCGAATTTACACTTCACCAAGAAAGGGGTGGTGAATTTAATACTCGATCACGGAAGTAATTCACAACGGAGATAATCTGGGTTGGTTTCACAAAAAAGCAAATCCCCAGGAAGTCAGTACACCCATACAAAGCAACGATAATGACCTCAGCTGTATTAATCATGATTTCTTGCCAGTATTTTATTAAAGGAATGTACATGTATAAACTTCTTCGTTTGCCTTCGCATCCTTATTCTCCCATGAGTTCAGGAAGTAAAAACAGTAATTTAAATCAGAAATGAGTGGCGTATCCCACACTAATACTGCGCTTATCCTGTCTGATTTTGTGCTTTTATCTCCCCTCGCGCACAGCTGGCTTTGGTTAAACGTCTCACGTCAGAGCTTTCAGTCACTGTGTAGCCATCACCAGAAAGATAGACCACGGGTAGGCTCCAATCAAACATCATTAAGACGGTTGAACTCCTTATGAGGTTACCTCTCCCTCTCTCTCTCTCTCGATCGTAATTGATTTTCAGGCAAATGTTGCATTTTCAGTAACAAAAGAAGGAGAGAGAGAGGAGAGGCATTTATGTTTCCTTAGTGCTACGGATTCCCAAAGACCATTTCTGTCCCCATAAAGCCCGTGTGCTGAGCGACACGGCGCTGGCTCCCGGCTGGGGTGAAGAGTGCACAACTTCGGGAGAGCCTGGCTGAGGTTTTGCATGACTGCGGCCTTTGCAGTAACCAGGCCTGCACATTTGCCGTTCCTCAGCGAGCGGCGTACGATCCTACAGCGCAGTTTTGGGTTTCAGACTCAGGTCTGTGCATCTACGCCCCTGCCACAGGAATCGCGGGGGCTCGATGTCTTTGAAAACCAGCCCTTTCAGCTATGCGGATTTGTGGGATGCTGCAAAATGGCGAATGGAGGCGAACCTCTTCGTTGCACAGCGATATCAGGTTGCTGGAAAAAACCAAAAAGCTCTCTCTGTGGGGAAACTGTCTGCGTTGCTCATCGCATTAAGGAGGGAGTCAAAAACACCACGGTCTTCAACAAACCCCCGCGCGCTGTTTTGTACGTCACATCTGGATCAGGAAGGGACAGATGTGCAGCTGTCCTGGGGTAGCTCCCACAGTAGGTGGCTGTTCCTGTACCGCTCCACTAGATGGCAAAGGAGCAGGTACCAGCCTCTGCCGTTAGCAAAGGCACAGACGGCAACTGGACGTCTTGGGCATTTCAGCCCATATCCAGAAACGTGCAGGGATCGCAAACTTCTGTCGTGTTGGGAGCGTGAAATACTCAAGGGATAACGAGCCTTTTGCCACTAGATGGCTCATTCAAGTCCCGACCACGTTGACACTGTGCGAAAGTCTTCGCTACCTTACGTGTGCAACGCACGCTGCGATCAGGCTGTAGAGTCGCATCAAATGTCGAGGAACGCCCCATGTCTGTTGGGCGGACGAATGGCCCGGGGATCCAGAGACCAGACTCTGCAACCGACTTCCCACATGGATCTCGGCAAGTCTTAATCTTGCTCCATCTGCTTCCCGGTCCAAAAAACGAGGATAGTTTTACTTGCCCACTGTGTTAAAACGCTCTGCAATCTTCGGAAAGCACCAGATCATCCTCATCCTCATCATTGCTGTTATCATTAGCATTATTATTTTTTGCATTATTGCTATCATATCATCATCATCACCACCACCATCGTGCCCAGATTCTCAGCCCTCGAGGTAGCCGTCTCCGTCCCGCGGAGCAGGGACAGCACAGGCCGTAAAGCAAGGTTTCCTCATTCCTGGCCAGGAGGGATCAAGTTCACTTAAAAGTGAAGCCCACAGAGGAATTCACCTGCATAAGGAAGCTGAATGGCAGCCTTGGCTCGAATTGTCCTCGCTTATGGTAGTTGCATGAGGTCAGAGGCTTAGCACTGCCTCAATAGAGGCGGATATATCCGTCCCTGGAGTAGTGCTGTTGACTTCAGTGGACTTACGCCAGGAATGGAGTTGGCCCCAGTCTGTCTGAGGGTTATTGCATCTCTATTTCCCTATGCATTCGCTGTCGAGATGTATTAACTTCCTTAAATGTATCGGTAAAACAACCTCTTATGCTACACTTTAATGAGCTTGTACAGTAGCCAACAAATTGTGTATCGCATAAAACCCATTCTGCTCCACAGACTTGGAGGCTATTCTGCTTCGTGGTAACTGTCATCTGCTTCTGCGGAGGCAAGATAAGCAGGGTTGAGAAGTCAGGCCCTGCAGAAACCTAAATATTTGATTTGGGGGGAAGGGAGCGGGTGGGAGAAGGAAGAAGGGGACCTCCGGGAGCCATTTATGGGGTCAAAATAACATGAGACCTGCTCTCCTCAGAGCATTTCCACCATGGAGGAAGTGAAATACTGTGAGAAGACCAGTGCTCGCATGAGTTTGTCCCCGTAATGGCTCCCAGCGGCATTAAAAAGCCCGTGAAAAACAAACACAAATACAAATAAGTGCTAATAGTGGAAATGTTAATCCTGAAACCTGCCCCCGTCCCAGAGGGACACAACTTGCAAAGTTATGATTGGCTTCGAAAATGAAAAAAAAATAAGAGCAGGAACATCTGCTGAAGTCATGAGGAGGAGGCTAGTTCAGGGGAGCGCAGGAGCAGCCCATAGTCACTTTTGATGCTAACCGTAACAGGCAACGCCAGAGTCGATGGGAATCGCAGCATTACCGGGGGCTCGGGCACGTGCAAATCGAACTGCACTGGAGAAAGAAACAGCAACAAAAGTAGTCTCCGGTGCTGCACGTCTACCAGGTTTAAAAGGAACCAGGGTCCACGGGGCTCCAAAAGTAAGGGAAGAGAGATGCAGATGCCAACAGCGATTCTGCACCAGCTCCTCCGCGGGGCTGTACCCGTGTGCCTCTGTGGCTCTGGGATGGATTCAAAGCCCGTGCTAGTGCAGGGCAGGATTAACTCCATGCAAGTCAGTGGAGTCGCACCAATGTAGACAAGATCACAATCAGCAATACAAATCTCCGAGTCCAGGACTCAGAGCATTAGTTTCCCCTGAAAAAAATCCAAAGGACTAAGCAGGCATAAGTGCATGCTATTTACTTGGCTGTGAACGTTCAAGTGAGAACCAGGGCCTGCGCTCTCGTGCTCGCTCCACAATGTCACATTTGCTCCTCTCCTCATGCAGATACTCCTGCAGCCGTTCTGAGGCTGACCCGAAATGCTGGCGGCCAGATCTGGACCTGAAGGACGGCAGCCACGCTGAAACAGCAGGATGTGGGAGAGAATTCAGTTGAGACGGTGGGTCCTATCTGTACGCCCCCCACCAAGGTACTTCTGCCAGCTTCTCACTGGGCGTTGCACCGGGGCTGTTTATGACAAGAGGTAAGCCCCTAGGAGCCTTGTGCTCATAAAGCCCTCTGTGTACCTACGGCACTGGGGCCCTCCAAGCCTCACTACCCTGTATACTGGTGCAGGGAGTATGTTCCCACCCCCAAAGCAGAGACAATAATGGGACTTTTGCTTTTGTTAATCTGGCCTCAAGCTTCTGGGTGCCCCAACCTGAGACGTTTAGAAGAGGCCTGACTTGCAGAGAGCAGGTGCTCTGCACTCTCAGGAAACCAAGGCATCTCCACCTTGGCCTCCAAAATCACTGGTCCCAGTGACCTCCCACTGCCATTACATTCACACCACATCTTTTAGTGCCTGGCCCTGGGAGGGCTGAAGGCACCTGCCTGCTTGCAGGACCGGGTGGGCGTTCCCACTCGAATGCAGAGATAATGACCTTCTGCATGCAGTATTGCCCCTGTCGCCTTCACCGGGTACCATCATGCCCCTCTTGTTGGCAGTCCCTGGCTGCTCCACTGAATGAGTGCGGCTGGCGGAAAACCAGGGGTCGGTAACAGCCGTGCTGGGACGTGCTGTGGGAGGAGGAGCTGGGACCCCACCGAGGCTGAAGAAAAGCTGCAGGGAGCAGTTCATGTTTAGGCGCATGGGGGTGGCAGCGGGCGCACGTCCCTCCCTGGAGTCCGAGAGATGCCCAGACTGGACCGGGTGCAGTCGAAATGCTGTCAAATAATGAGCAATCAAAAGTAGGGAAATGCACGATCCATTAGCTCCCTTCCAGTTCCACCTTGTTCTTTGCATCCCTGCCAGGCGCTGAAAACCAGCGTCTGTTCCCGTCACGTGAGATTCGGCAGCACTCAGGAGCCAGCTGGGAGAAACCAGAACGGATCCCCTTCTGTTCTTACCTACCACACGCGCCTGATCCTCGCCGTCCTGTCTCATCCGACTGCAAGCCGAAGCCTCTGTTGTATTAAGCGTGGTGACAAATTGGACGGAGGTCCTTGCTGCGGTCCTCAGGTGGGTGTCAGCACGTAACGAGCTACCCCAGGCACGCGTCCAAGCCAGGGTGCTGTATATTCAATTCCAAAAAGCTGCAGGATCTGTCAGAGGACTACATCAAATCTAGAAAGGTAGAAAGCCTTGCCAAGCCTAAATGTGAAGCCATTTTATATGGCACATTAATTCAGTGCCTGAAGAAAATCTATATAGCCCTCTTTTGCCCGGAACACTCATAAATTATGCTGCCTTTCTTAGTTGTGCTTTCTCCGTAGTGGTCCACTTGAAGCCATGGTATCTCCTTTATGTCTACTCAAAAATCTCATCTCTAGTGCATTATTTCTTCTAATGGCTTTTCCTTTCTCTCCGTTGGACTTCCCCTACAGCAGGCTGTTAAGCACAGTTTCAAAATATCCTCAAAAATCATTTGCTGAAAGAGCCGACCCTTTCCTTTACCTACTGAGAATTGCACTAACTCCTCTGCAGCATGGCAGCATGGCAGCCTGGATAAACGATACAACGACAACCAGCCTGATGTGTCAGGGTAGTGGGGAAGCAGCAGCAACTCTGAATACAAGAATTATTCTTCATCATCTCAAACTGTCACAACACATTACGCTCAAAGCCTCAGCCTGCTGAAGGAGTGACCCTGGACTGAATGGAAGAGTGCTTGGGGAAAGAACTAATTGTAGCCTCTTTTCACACGTCAGTCACTTTTCACAGCACCAAGCCTTTCAAGCTCAACTAATGTCAAGTTCCTTTTTCCTTTTTCTGTGCCGAATATTTCTGAGGTTATATAGATGGCATTTTTAAAGGAACAAGGTCTCTGGCAAGGATCTAAGTTGGTGGGGAGGAGGAAGGGAGAAGTGCAAAGATTAGTGCACGCTACTGAAGATTTGTTAGGAATGACTCAATTAACAGGCTGGGATCTGGGAAGTGGCGTGACATATCAGCCACTTGGGCCTTTATCTCGTGGTTTTATTCTTGTCATTCAGGGTGTGTCTACACAACTCGCCTTAATGTGCGGTAGACTGCTCTACTGCATGTTAGCGCATCACGGCAAAAACCATGCTGATGCAGTAGACTGCTCTACTGCACATAAGCACATCACGGTGAAAAACCATGCTAATGCACAACAGGATTAGTCTACTGCGCATCACAAAAAAAAGTTTGCCTTTGCTACTGCACATAAGCAAAGCTACTGCGCTTTTATCTAATACCTTGTATTAGAGGTACTAAACTTAATGCACTGTAACAAAGGCACATTAATGAATGTGTAGACACGTCTCATTGTGGCAATTTCACTTGGTCCAGATTTAAGCCGAAAGCATGTAAATATGCGGGAATTTACTCTCTCCCTTTTCACAAAATTAGAAAGCAAAAGTGGTAGCTGGCCCAACGGTGGGGTGAGAGAAGGAAGCAGCATCCTATTAAGAACGGCTGGGGTGGATTGTGCTTCTTTGGGGCCTCGACCATTTTGGGCTGGCCATTTAATTGGGCAGAGTTGAGAACCCACCTGCTAGATCAAAGTTACTTTCATTTGGAAAAGAAGCAAAGCAACACGATTCAGAAGCAGAGCCTGTATCCGTCCTCTTGTCTAGAACATCAAGCATCAACTTTCTCCTCCGCTTGGACAGTGCCCAGCACCACAGCGCTTGAACACCAGCCACGTCCCTTTGACTCTCTCCGGATATGAATATTTACGCATAAGCAGCCTAACTCCACCGAAGCCATAAAGTGCATTTCCATCCTGTCTTCCACTGAAGCTAATGGCGCTGCTCTGGATTGGTGAGTGCTGCTGAAAGCAGAATAGGGCCAAGGCTGTGCATGTGTCATTGATAGTGTTTGTTGCACACAAAACTTCTCCTAAGCCCAGCATTATGGAACCACACTGCTAACAGCACTGCTCCTTTCTAGACATCAGAGAATGTAACTGCGAACAGGGAGCCTTGATTATATATTATCTTCAAAAACACTGGTTGTTAGTTAAAGGGAGGAAACTAGAGAACTGGCTCTGAAAAAAGGATTTATAGGGATTCGGCTGGAGTTTGTGCTGCAGGTAGGACCCACCAGCAGCTCGCAGAACTGACCTCTACTGTACCCAGCAAGGGGCACCACGATCCAGGTCCGTGCAGTGCTGGCTTTGGAGAGTAAAGCTACACTTGGGAAGGCAGAAGGATTGGATCTGTGCCACCGTTTATCTGAAACGGCCCTAAACTGTCAGCACCAAATACCATCTTATGATTTAATTTCTTAATGTCTTTGAATTTGCAAAGACAGAAATGAAAGCTCTTTCCCAGCCCTACCTGTTTCCATTCGTTCTTCTGCAGCTGGAGGGGAGACCCAAAAGCTTTCTCATGTACTGCTCTTGGGCTGTCTTTGCTGTGCAAAGATGTGTGCGTGCCCAGCGGGGGGGGATGCATTTTTTTCAGCCCCGTTACGGGGCGGGCAGCTATTCTGGTTTTGTTTGGAATGAAGAGATTGGAAGGAGATTTCCCACCAGATTTGCACAAGCTCGTTAAACTTCATGTTCTTCTCAAGGGGTCAGGTTCTGCCTCACCACAGTGAACCGGGCAGTACAGGCGTGCACCACCGCTCTTTGTTGGACCGAACAAGAGCTGTTAGCCGTGTGCTAGAGGCCTACTAAGCGCTAACGCCGTGTCATTTGGCTTAGATGCCCGAGGCCTGTACTTTAGGAAGAGCATCCAATTATTGATTTCATGTGCAGCTGCAGGTAGCCAACACAACAGGGAAGTTCCTAAGGTCCAGGAAGCATCGGATTTTCTTTTCTTTGTTTGAGAATAGATGTTAGACCACTTTCACGGGAGGAAATTCAGCGCGCACCAAAAATGAATCCCTGTGTTGAAATCATTTCACCCTACTGCGTCAGGGAAGATACTAAGACACTGCAGAAGCAGCCCTATTACGTTGTCAGAGCAGAAAAGACGGGCAAATGCTGTCTGAGCAAGTCCTACGAAATCAGATGTTTCTGATTTCATAGGACTTGCTCAGTCTATAGGACTTGCTCAGGCTGTTAGTGACTGCCAAATTATCCTATGATCAATATAATGCCGAATCCACATAGACTCCTAATGTAATGCACTTACACCTGGCGCGTTGGATAAAAAAGGTGACAGCGTCTAACAACTTGGGTAAGGACGCATGGGAAGTGCAAAGTCACCAAGGGAAGGGAGAGTGAACATCAAAATCCAGTGGGGCTGCACATTTCATTTCCAGTGCATCATCTCGGTGCTACGATGCCAAAGAAGTAACACTTGCAAAAATTAAGAAGGCATCTGAGCTTACATAAATATCTGGATTTACTTCAAGCGAGAAGAGATTGGGAAGATACGAGCAAAACATTTTCATGTGTGAACTTTTAAAGTATTTGTCTACAAAAGAAAAAGAAGTTCAGCTTGTTGTTTCCTTTGAAATGAAAAACAAACACTAACATTCCTCTATCCACCGAGCAAGATACCCAAATCTATGGCATACAGCCAGACTCGACTCTGAATATTTTATGGAAGGTTAAAAGTGCACGAGATAAAGGACTAGCGTCTAGAGAGACAATATTCTTCAACATAGGCACTTTCACGACGACTGCAGCGCTTTAAAAAATTGTCTCAAGTTTCATAGAGCGGTATATGTTTGTCAAGAGGGTTAGGATGTTTTGCTACATAAATGGCACTTTGGCAAGGCAAGCTGCCGAATTTAGCCGCTACGTGAAGTCTCAAAAGCTCGAAGAACAATCAGATGCTTATAGAAAACAGATCTCTCCAGCCCAAGCGCACAGCATGAAGTGCACTAACCGTTCATGCAAAGTTTCCAAAAGCGTGTGTTTTCTAAACGGACGGGCAGATGCAGTTGTTTCGGATGAAGGGAAACTCCCCCCACCCCTCCACAAACTTCAAAGTCACGATGCGCTGCTCCTAAAGATCGAGTCTTCAGCATCCTAGCCGGTTTCATCTGTTCTCAGATCTTGAGATCCATAATGTCCTTTCTTACCATTAAAAATGCACTTTCCTGCTGGAAGCCAGTGAATATGTATATGTGTGTGTGTGTATTTGTGTGTGTGTGTTTAATGCATGTAAGCAGAATGATCTTTTATCTTCAGTTACGCAAGCGGCACATCTGTGTATATCAGACCAAAAGCATTTGCAGAGAAAACACTGTATTAAAATTCCTGGTTCTGGTCTCATTCCCAGGGCTGTGGGAGTGCCTCCGATTGCTCAACAGTGACCCCTCTCTCAGCCTCCAACTCCACCAGGGAGATGCAAATTAAAATGCCTTTCTGCATGTTCACAACACCTACCAGTCCGCATGTTACTGAGCAGCACTTTGTTTCCCCCCTTCGCTGGGAAGAGTGGCACGCTGTCCAAACGTCTCCGAGGAAATATGCAGGTTTGTCCCTACATTTGAGACCCAGACGGGCTCTAAATGTGTGTGCACCTGATCCTGCAAAGCTTCCCTCCCCACTCGAGACGAGGGGAGCTGTAGGTGTAATCAAAAGGGGCCTCTGCGTCTCCACAACTCCTACAGCGAGAACTATCTCCCTCCGATCGCGGCAGCCTGAAACAGTCCCGGGGCGGGGAGACGAGCCGTGCTTGCTCTTCCATCCGCAACTCAAAGAGTCCCAGCCGAAGAATCTGGTCGTGGAAAAGCTGAAGTGCCTGAGTGTCAAAATAATAAATAGAGCAATGACCTCACGGTCTGGGCAGCATGTCACTGATCTGCTGAATAAGGGATTTCAGACATGCCTAAACCTCAAAACTTCAGCAATTCCTTTCATGTCTGAGACCTGATTTTCCCTCTTACGATGCTGTCGAGGCTTACTGGACCTCCTAACAATCCTCATTTGGAAAAATAAGGCAGCGTAGAGCCCAGGAGACGGACGGCTTGCGTGGTGTTTCAGTTCTGCTGTCCCTCCACGTGCACGTATCAGTCTCTAAGGGCTGATTTCAATTTAGAGTAACACCGAGTACAATGATCCTGGCGTAACTGCGAGTAAGCCATGCTCCCGACACGCTGACCCTTCCGGTCAGTGGAGGGGAGGAAGGACTCTTATGTTGTGGGGGAGAAAGCACAAATGGATCAAAATTTGGGTTTTGAAGAAGCAGTCAAAAGTTTCGAGAGGCCAGATCCCAACATGGCATAACGGAGAATACTGTCACTGAAACACCCACGTTCCACCTGCTGACAATTTGGTCTTTGTTGCCGACCGAAGCTAACCGAGTCTCTTGAAACTCAGAAATAAAGGTGGACGTTTCATTAGGATGAGGTTTTTCTCATCGTGTTCCTGCAACCCTGAGTCCAGCCTCATTCAGCAACCTTAAAGTGCATGTTCGTATACTTAAACTCAAATTTCCATTTTTGTGTGGGTCCAAACAGGTTGTGGGAAAACGCTGAGAAGTGGTGGGGGGGCATGTCTGAACTTTTTTTATCCGAACAGTTCTCCCCTTTCCTGGCAAGTTAAGGTAGTTCATGGTTGGGAGGGACAGAGACAAACTCCTGTGCTTCTGCTCTATCAGAAACCCAACACTTCTCCCGTGAATCCGCAGTTAACACGGTGAGCTGACAGCGCTTCTTGAAGCAGCTCAGTTTTGCTAAAGATGGATCGATTTGCCAAAACGCTCTAATTCTGCAGGCCCACAAATACATCTGCACCTACAATAAGTGGTTGACCTTGGTGTAAGGACCTGACCCTGTCTCCTAAAAAAAAAAGGTGGGAGCTCACTTACTTGTAGGCAGAAACTAAAAGATGCCTTGAAACACGTGCAACAAAATCCCACCTCTCTCCTCTTTATTAATTGGTTAAGGTTTGACCAGGGTAGCACCAAAGTCTGACCTTGACTGTGCACGTATGGAGGAGCTGCCTGATTCGATCCGTTGTAACTCAGGTGTCAGCACAGCATATCTGGATTTGTTCTTCTGAAAGCCAAGAGCAGCTGTCAGCTGTTTCAAGAATGATATATATTTCCTCCGAAAACCTTTTTAAAATCATTCACGTATCGATTTCAATGTATTAAGTCTCCTTTCCTTTTTTTTTTCTTTTTCAGTTGCTCGTTTTAAAACACGGCCAAATCGGCGAACGAAGTTGAGAGCAGAGGAGCCTGCAAGCTGGAAATAACTCTTGTGTGAAGTCTCAAAGAGTTAATGTACAACCAAGGAATTCCTCTAGCCACGTCCCACGGAAAAAGCAACTTAAGTCATTTCAAGCTCTTCAGGTTCAGTCTGACGTCAGGGTGCAGCACAGCAAGGATAAGGAACGATGGTTTTTTTTTCCATGGTCTTCACCTGCATTTGAATGGGCAGCCAGCAGCCCTTCCCAAGCGTGGCCTAGATTTGTCAGGGCAAGACGTGGCCACCACGTAATTTAAATGGAGCATTAGATCTGTTACGCTGCTTTAAAAAATGTGCATAAAGCAGCCCCTGAGTCCTGTGCAAGAGGGAGCTCAGACCTGCAAGAGGATGGAGAATTACGGGTGCAATTCCAGCCTCCCACCCCTGTGTGCTTCCCACTGTGCAGGCGTGCGCGTGCATGGGGGGAGGAAAGCCACCGAGTCTTTCTGTCTCCTGATGATCATCTTCAGACGCGGTTTCTGCCTGGCCACCCAGCCTCAGTCTGAAGCACTTGCTGGGAAGGTCTCCAGGGGAAGACACCCTGACAGGGGATGGATGAAGCTGGAAGATGGGACGCTCCCTCCTGGGATAGTGTTGGAGAAGCTGTGGGCATTCACAGCCCTATTCAGCGTATGGGGGAAGGCTGCCCCTCGAGTCCCAGGGCAGCGCGACGGCCTGGGCTACCTTTCTTGGCAACTGTACGCATTTGTGTAAGATGCTTTGCAAATCCCTTATCTGAACCAGGAATGCACAGACCGAAGGGGCCTGTCCTAAAATTTTCCAGAACCCAAGCTGCAGTATTACTCCACTTGCTTCTCACCCCATAAAACAATACCAGAAAAAGGCACCGACTGGCCCTTAAACACGAACACCAGCAGCAATGCACGGATACAAACTTAGGGCCTGATGCAAAGCCCCTTTAAAGGAGGCTGCCTCATCAGCTTCAAAGGGTTTTGCATTGGGCCCCGATAGTGAAATCCTGGCCCCACTGCCGTTAATGGCAAAACTCCCAATGACTTCAAAGGGGCAGAATTTCACTCTTACTCAACAACTGTGAATGGCTGTTTTAAAACGCTCGCCCATTGTACTACCTGTTTCTATCAGCAGGGGAAAAAAACAATTCCCTCTTTATGGGGCCGTGCAGCATGCCAAGTGAGAGATCACTTTAGAGACTTAAAGAAGCAGAGGCTTTTTGCTATTTATGAGGGAAGAGTGCCCCAGGTAACTGAATCTCGGAGAACCAGGATCCCGCTAATGTACGAGGAACCATAAAGTGAAACGTTAGAAGTTGGCTAGCAGCAAACGCGAGGCAGACTCGTCTACCTTCGTTGTCTCCCATGAACGAAGTGCAAAAAAAGGTAAATAAACCAGAAGGGAAATGTCTTTTCCACTCCGTTTTTTAAAACATTTAATCTCCCTCCAATCTATGCACTACCACGGCATTTGGTGTCATACTAGCAAAACGGGGAGAATTTTTTTTTTTTTTTAAAGAAATCCCTTTAAACTCAATGGCAGCCTTGGCAAAGGAGGCTGAGGCCCTCTGACCTAACGAGAGCCCGAGATAAGGGTTTCTTTTGAAATTTCCATCTAAAACCACCACCTGTGCGGTAGTATCCTATGGCCCAAAACAAACTCCACGTCTGCTGAAATGGTGTCACTTCAGCAGGGCTGATTTTTCCACTTGCAGAGCACTTCAAGAATTATCTCTGCATTTTTTTTGTTGTTGTCAAGGGACAGTAGCATCAAATATTTAGTGATTATAAACAGAGCAGAATAAAAAAAAAAAAAAAGCAACTGCCTGAAACGAGAGCTCAGGATCTGATTTCTTCTAACCGGATGCCTGCAAGATGTCACTGAATTCTCTCTCCGTGCAACCCGCGTGGAGCCAATATGAACTCCCAGCAAAGTGCTTAAAAACCCATTATTTATAATAACTGTTAAATGATGAGACATTGTTTACCCAGATCGCAAGATAAATTCTCACTTACAGAATGCTTGTCTGACTGTCCTGAACATCATCTGGTTTTTATTTAAATGCAAAATGTAATTACTCTCAATAACACAGCAGAAGAATTCAATAAGATATGGCTTTGCACTTATGGTTTAATATTAACATTTCCCCATAAACGTTAATGAATAAAAGTCTACTGCTGTATATTTTACATGCGATTGAGAGGAAGGGAGGGAGGGAAATATTTTCATATCTGGAGCGCAACACTGAATTCAAGGGGAGCTCGGGGTTTTCAGACCCTGGCTGAGACAGCACCTCCTGCCGGCATCAGACTCAAAGCGTCACATCCAGAAAAGACAGATCCCAAGCGTTCAAGAAGTGGCAGGAGGTAGCACGAGGCTGAATGACTGCGTCTGTAAGTAAGGCCTCTGTTGAGAGAAATCACTCTGGTCTTTTCCTCATGTCTGTTGTGCACCTAGTACCATCAGCACTGGACCATCTGCGGCCTGGACTACAGCAGCACTTACAGTCTGCTCCCACTGGTCTGGGTACGCCTGCGATGGATGCGGTCTCTTTGTGTGGCCCCTTTGAGACGTACCTCCAACAGCAGCCGCCCCGCAGTAGCCTGCCCACTTTCGGGGCACCCGTGCAAAGGGGTTGCCCCTTGGTGAGAGGGTTCTGGCAGCCGCTTTGCACGGTTTAAGCAAGATCCATAGAGCAGAGGAGCCCGCTCGCCCGAGCTTCGTGTCCTCAGGCAAAAGACTGCTAAGGGCGTGACTCTTCACTGCATTACTGAACAGCAATGATGTTGGTGCAGCGGGTTCAACGGATGCAGTGACGTACACTGAAGGTAGCACTGGGATGAACTAGGCCCACGGCACTTAAGGAGCATGTTCTTTGCTGATCTCAAATTGCTTTGCTAAAGGGGGATTTGTCCCCATTCTACAGCCGACAAAACCAAGGCGCACGTGCTTGCCTGACAGCAGAAAACAGGTCAGTGCCAGAGCTGGAATCAGAAGGTCGGTCCCCTGACACCCCTCCCACGGTGCCACGATGCTGCCAGCAGCACGTGCCAGCTAGTGGATGGCATACGCACACATTGCTGCTGCTTAAAAATTCATGCTCATGTGTGGGAGGGTCAGCCTCGGCCCGCAGGACTCGTGTGCCAGCTTTGCCTTCACCCCTCTATCACACTGCCAACCAGAATAGGATTTGGCATATAAAACACCTGTATACACTTCCATCTGATTCAGACACTGGATGATAGGGGCCATTTACGCCTATCTAGAAACATATATTTCCCCTACCCCATGCTGCGTCCTACATGCAAACGCTTGCAAGAGGCTTCGAAAGAATTGTGGGGAGCAGAGACGGGAAAAGTCCTCTTAGACAAAGCAGTCCATTGCACGTGGCTAGCGCAGAAGTGGCCCCCATCTCATTTCCAGAGCTTTGGCTTTGGCTTGTAAAGGGAAGGTTTAATAAAATGAGAGCTTTTCAACCCAGGCAGCGCGATTCAAAAAAAGAACTTAGAGGCCTACTAAAACCCGGCAGGTTTGGGGAACATAGAAATAGGCTTCATTAAGTAGCAAATGCCTTCCAAGGGCCTGATGCAACAAAAAGGCCCTTGCAGGATGAGACACAAGAGAGCACCTCTGTGCTCCTGTTCCCACTGAAATCAATGTCAAGAGCCCCAAGGATGCGAAAAAGCTTGTTGCTTTAAAAGGTCCCCAGTGCACATCAACACAGATGAGCAAAGCCAAGCTAAAAGGCAGGCTGCTTACCATCTCAGATGAAATGCTGGTGTCTTGTGGTAAGGAAAATAATTTACTTAATCGCTTAAAAAAACCCCAACAACAACAAATCTCTTAGGAGAAAGTCAATTGTTTGCCTGCTAACTGCTCTGAGACAAAGCAACGGAAGGGAAATGTCCAGTTCCAATCATTTCGTAACCTGATTACAGCCCGCACAGAAGAGCTGAAACACTTGGAGAACAATGATTAAGAAATTAAGCTTCAAATTAAGTGTGCGCCCTATATGGGCCTGCTTCTTCCTATGATACTGGAAAGGACACGGCTGGGCTCGTTCCACGCGCGAGCTGGCGATGCGAGCGTACAGCCCAGCGATGAATCATCTCAGACATTTCCCGACCCCCCCCGCCACCCCACCATTTCTTTCTCCAAGAGGAATGACAAATCTAGAAATGGCACTGCACTTTGTTTCATGACGGTATCGATTTTCCTGCACAGGAAAAGTGCATTTGTCCTCTCGGCCCGCAGGCTGGCAAGAAAGGGTTAACCAAATGTTTATCACAAGGCTGGCTTCAGAGTTGAAAGTAATGTGATCAGTAATGAATTTTGTGTTACATTAGGTTGTATAAATGGACAGACAAGCGCAGACAACAAGTGGCCAGGAGTCGGGGCTAATCTAATGATGTAAAAATAGAGACAGCACCAATTATACTTGGGGCCAGCTCAGAGCTCCTGCAGGGACTGCAAATGAATAGGTACAAATCAAATTACTGACTAATAGACGCACTACAAGAGAGGGCAGTCAATGCTAAATGCATTAGGGCCTTGTGACCTCCCTGCTCTGAACAGCAGAATCCTAAATTTGACTTAAAAAAAAAAAAATCAAAGAAACTCTTGTTCAGTTAAGAAGAGAGATACAACAATGTGACTTGTGAAATGATTTAAAACGTTCACATTTCCCCCCACCTCGTCCCTTTGTTAGGATATTCTGTATGGCTCGGGCATTGCTTCAAACCTTTTTCCAATCTGACCCAGGGTTTTTGCTTTGTCAAAACATGGAGAAATAGTCTTTGTGCAAAAGTTAAGACCTGAGAACAATACAGTTATGTTACATACCAAAACATTTCAAAGCCATGTGCCTCTTTGTGGAGATGTTTTTTACTGCTACTTCAACGGCTGTGTCTGCATCAAAAATAAAATAGGTCTTTAAAAAAAAAACCTTTAAAAAAAAAAAAGAAAGAAAGAAAGAAAAAAGAAAACGGACTTTCCCCCAAACAACAAGCGATTAGCAAGAAATGCAGTTGACCGCCACCTTATCGAATGGTAGACAGCCACATTTCTCTGTTGGCATTTGGACCCTCTTTGGAAGCGTCCCGACATTCACGGCTGCTTCTCCGAATGGCAACGCACCCAATTGCACATTGAAAACATTTTAGTATCAACACTGTCTCCCTTCAGAGCTCCCCTCAATAACCCCAAGGAAACTTCAGTCAAAAGATACTGTCGCTGTTTTCCAAGGTCTGCGCATCTAACGGGAGCTTGGGAGGAAATGGCTCGTTTGGCAGACTATGGCTGGAGCGTCCCCGGCAGGTTTCAAAGCAGCTGATAGCCAAGAGTCCCCGGATTTGGAAACAGTCATATCATTAAAAATGCCTCTGCTGGCCTGGCAGTGCTATCCGAGTGGTCTGCTTTGGGAAGGGTTATGGAGAATCACATAAAATGCACACTTATGCGGCTCGTTTGGTACAGGGATGGAGAGAGCAGTAAGTCAGCGTGAGGGTATCCGATGTACTTAGCAGGACATATGTAGCTTACTGGCTAAGACAGATACACATATTCTGTGCGCGGAGACATACAGCCCATGAAAGCAGATACAGGGTGGAGATAAAAACATGCAGACCCTACATAAAATGAAAGCACGGGGAGGGCAACGACAACAACAGGGACAAAAAAAAAATCACACTGAAGAAATGAAACTTTGTCGTTGAGTTAAACAGCCCTCATTAAAGGGCTGTGTTAAAAAGCTCTCCGGCTGCACTAAATAACGTACGTCTGGGGACAGAGACATGCGTGCAGGCCCTCTGATAGACCGGGCCAGTCCGCAGCCGGCAGAAATCAGTGCAGCTCCACAGCCGCAAGGTAAAATACACCCACTTCCGCCGGCTGCAATGCCGGGAGTCGCACACCGATGTCTCTGCAGAGCGTGGAGGCTGTCCCTAGAGTCCCTTCCGCTGCTGGGGGATGTGAACCACAACCCTCTGGGATACAAAAGTGGTAAGCGTGTGATCGTCCTAGGCAGGGCTTGGAAAGCTGCATGCCTCAAAGAGGCTAATATATTAAAACGTATCAAAAGATGTAGTTTAAAATGAGCTTTGGGAGGGAGTAATCATATTGTGCTCTTGAGAGGAAGATTCGGTTTCCAAGCCTGGGTTAAATGCCTCAAAAGTTCAAAGGCCACTTTTTAGTCCAAATGTTTCCTGCCATGCCTGTGGACTTGCTGCCCAAGCTCTTTTTTGCACCGAATCTATGCAGAGATCTTATTATCTAAAATGCTTTTTATAGAGAAAATCAATTATGCTGAATCCTTGTCTCCCTGCTTCCCACTTCAGGGCTGGAATTGAGAGAGGCTGAGACGACGAAGGGAACAACGTCGCCTTAGTCAAAGGAAGAAAAGGGGCAGGGGGAGGGAATGGAGGGGGATCTTATTTTAACCATTTCTCATTCACACCGTATCACTGTGCCTAGCCCATTCCTTGGATACACATCGAAACCCAGGCGTCTACTCATCTGCGCGTCTTCTCACCCACCCGTTCTTCCTCTAGAGAAGCTGTACAACATCGGAGGAGTTGAATTATGCTGGGATGGGCAGGGATGAGGCTCATTGCTTGTCGATTTTAGCGAGACAAACACATTTTTTAAGTGAATAAATGTGCACAGCAACGCTTGGGACTTCATTGTCTAAGCTTGAGAGATGGACCCAAAATACAAGATTCACATAAGGGTTTAAAGACAGCTTCCCTTTCTGTCAGGCGCTCAGGTCTGGGGTCTGGGGCAAGTGGCTGTAACAATAAGGCGGTCACAAGTTCAATTTTGGAGCGCTCCTAAAACTCAGATCCAGGTGAGAGCCAATCGCTAATAAAAAAAAAAGGGTCTAATTAGCTCCATTTATCTCCAGCCCATTAATCATATTAGGAGATTGAGGCAGACTATGAGCTTCAATCAAGCCAACTTCTTTCATCAGATTACGAGATGGTTCCTGGAGATCAGGAGGAATCCAGAAAAGATTCCTCCTGTGGGACATGCACAAAAATCCCTCTCTGTGCTTTTTTGCTCGGGGCCTTTTCTATTCTGAAACTTTCAAAATTGCTATTTGACTGCATCTAGGGCTTTGCATAAGAAAATCAATCTTAATGTCTCAGTTCTAGTCACCCTATAATTGACTTAAAACATGCCCTTTTCCATTCTACAGTAAACCCCACATTCTTGCTGTTCTATACTAATTTCATGAGGTTTCTTGACCATAATGATGGCTGTGATAAAAACTTAGTCTAGGCAAAATGTTTTACTGAAGCTGGGCACAAGATGCGGGGCTTGTTCTGCAGTGTTTGAATACAGGATTTTAGCTCACGCCTGCTCTATTCCTGGTGAAGGACCCAGATTAAAAGAGAGAAACCGTCTTCTTTGGCTGTACGACCTGGGATGCAGAGTGAACGAATGCAAGGCACTGTGTATTTCCCAATGGGTAAGAAAGCACACGTGCCTACAAAGAAGCATCTTACAAATATGCAGCTAGGTAAGGGTTCCAAGGTTTGCAAGATCGTGAATATTTTTGTCAATATAAAGTGGATGTGGGTCAACCATATCATATTTAGGCCGAGATACACAATTTAATGGAGACGTTTTAGCAGATGAGCATACTGATGTGAACTTGAAGTGATATATTGCCAAATTCTACACCTATATGCTTCCATTGACTTTGGCAACATTTCCCTGGTAGGACTGCATCTGGTGGACTAACCGGCCCCTGGCAATGAATGGTAGCATCAAGTCTTCAACCATGAGTCAATGGAAGAAAGAAAATCAACCACGGAGAAATACTACTTGGGGGACTGTGGTTATATGGTCCATCTATATACGATGGACTATGATCTATATAGCATCTGGAAGCTTATGAAATGCGCGTGCCAAGGGCTTGCATATCAGTGGATTTGCTGGTCACAATCGTTTTTCAGGGGGGAAAAAATTCTTACATTGGCTGGCAATTTTTGCATGTCAAATTTGAGCTGAATACTTTTGTAGAGACTTCTCTCCTTGAGACAGACACCGCTCCATAAATCAAAGTGTCAGCAATACTTTTTATTTTTTTTAAAATGCCATGTAGAAGCCACGACACAAGCTCAGGAGCTGTATTTCCAATATAAATGTTGTGGTTGCTCAAAAATGAAACTGTAAACAAGAGAGGGCACTGACCACGAAAATTGCATGGGCTGATTTTTTTTTTTTTAGTCAGAGCTTAACAAAAATTGCAATGGCAAAAACATCTGTTTTGGTTTTTTGCATCTAGGCCAATTTACGCCTTTTTTTGGAATTAAATGTGCATCCGGGCTGACAGCTTATATACAACAGACTCCACTTAAGATAGACATGGGTTGTCTGGATAATTGGATAACAGGGACGAAAGCTGGTTTCCCAATCAAGTTGACTTGCTGTGTGACTAGAGCTATCATTCAAGTCATATAGAAAGTAGATTTTTTTGGTCCTTTTCCAGACCTGGTTCTTCTCCCATCCACTGTCCGACAGCCCTTGGCATCCAGCCTGACTCATAGATGGAAAAGACTCGTCCGGCCATCTAGCTCATCTCCCTGCCAGTGCATGATTGTGCCTCATGTTCCTAATGTGTCTGCCAGTTTGATGCTTTCTGATACAACCAGGAGCTACACCGCCTGCTGTTAACTAGCAAGTATCTAGAACTACTGACCAAATAATACAGTGCTGCTGCTGCATTTCAAAGAAGTGGGGTAGGTAAGAAACAAAGAATTCAATATCTACGGCATAAAATGGACCTCTGGATTGTGAGCATGTGTTTCATCTGTACTATTTTATTGTATCAATCCTGATTACTATATAAATCTACATGCCAGCTATGTCCTAACAGTTAAGGCATTAAAAGAATCTATTTATCTCATGCCATTAAGTGCATGTCAGAGACAATTGAGCACTTGGTAATGTCTCCCAGTTCTTTCTGCTGTCCATTTTTACTTCTGTCCACATATTGGTACTGAGCGCAAAGCGGCAGCGTGTAATTTTTTGACTCTGTGCGAGTTGCTTTTATTCTTTTGTGCTTGGTTCACGTCAGATTTGGGGGCGTTTCAGTAAACGTTTTTCAGATCACTTTTAAACTTTGCACCTGCAAAGAACTCACGGAGCGTCAACCAGCATTAAAGCCATCACGTCAAGTCCAAACAAGTCACTTCTAGGATAATTTGAGCTGGGGATGATGCATGATATCATTTGGGGTCCAGCGCAGAACTATAAATCCTGTATTTGGAATTGGTAATCATATAGAAAGCGATCGGGTGTGCAAGGAAACAAATTTATGGTGTTCCTCAGTGCAGACATCCTTGCCATCACTTAATCCAGCTGCTCGGGCAGAAGCGAATTCTAGCAAGCGAGAGCCATGCTAAAATATGCTGGGGTTTTTTTAAAGACAGTTAGTTCAGCCTAGGTCTGTTAAGATGTGGGCAGCTTCTTGGCACTTACAATAATGCTACTTACTACGAGCCAACAAGGACACTGCTTTTTCAGATCAGGGGCAATCAACCCTCCATTTATCTTTCTTCTACTTGCCAGCCAACATATAGATGCTAATGCTTTAATGCGATACACGGCTGTCTGGCAAATGGCTGGCTGCCAGTCTGTCTGAGAACAACCACCCCGTGTTAATGATGCTGGACGATACCCTGAGCAAATGGGGTCTTCCACGTGTCGACGGCGTGGGATACAATACTACGCAAAGCCACTGAGGACTGGCAAGGGGGATAAGTTCAAGAGTTGAAAAGGACTGGGAACAGAGAGGTCTCAGGAACCTGTTTTGCTCATCTGCATCAAGGCCAATTTGACAGGGTTGGAGCTCAGAGTCCCCTTTCCCGAGAAGAAAATCTATTACTGATTAGAGAAAATCCTGTAATAAGCACACAAAAAAACGTAGAGAACATAACAATAATGGGGTAGAGAGGTCACGCCTATAATAAATCACAGGAAAGCTGGGTAATGCCCACATTGCCCATTCCTGAGCTATGATGTGCTTATGAGTGGCACATATTTTCCTCTGTAGAAAACTGATCTGCACGAAGATTTAAGGGGATTTGTATGCACGCTTGCACTGCAATGCCGGCCACTTTTAAAAGTGCCCGGCGCCGCAGCGTATGCAGTTGTATAAGCCGCAAAATGCATGTCAACGCTGAGAAAATGGCAGTGGCGTGCTTTGGCACTAAAACGCATCATTTTCTGTGCGCGGACACTCATTTTGCCACTTACACAACTGCATGCGCTGCAGTGCAGCGTGCGTCAGCTTGATTAATCGCATCTGCTCTGACGCGCCGGCTCTCTGGTGCGTTGTGGCGTGAACATGTATGTGTGTAAATGCCCTATGCGGCTGGGGCGGGGAGAGGAAAGAAGGGAAAAGTCTCTCAGGATGACCGTCAGCTCACTGAAAGCTTCCCTCTGAACATGGCTCACCTTTGCTTTCGGCCTTATAGCACTTCTGCATTCTACACCTTGTGGGTCTACATTTCATCTTAGTTGCATCCATGTAACCCCACCAGAGCTGCCCCCGCCCCAGAAATCAAGAGGGTTGCATTGATGCAACTGAGAGGACGACAGAGCCCCACATCACTTGCTTATTGTCTGATTTACCATGTGCAACCATCACAGTCCTTGGGAGCGCTTACGGTAATTTAAGTAACATGCATCAGCTTCTCCAGCACCAGGCTCCAGGGAAATTACCCTTAACCATGGAGCAGTCCTGCACGCAGAGGTTCTCGTAAATGAGAAGATTATATTTTTGACCCTTTCGAATCAGAGCTCTTGCACTTCCCGTGCTTGTAAGCCAGATCCTAGCTCTGAATTAAGCAGGACAGAGTGCAAGACAAGGAGGTGTGTGCAAAGATGGCTTTCATTTCACTTCTGGAGTCCCTTGACCCTCCTGCAGCTTGATGACGGCTGTAGATATATCGTCAGGTTGTAAGAGCCCCGCGTAGCTAAGGGCAAAGGGCAGAGGCCTTCCAACAAGGCTTCCCTTATTGCTAGTCATTTCTCTTTTTCCCTGCTGTGCTGGTAGCAGGGGGCTGAATGGTGTTTGAGCTACAACGTTGCCTTTACAGTGCTTGGAAGAGCCTCCTCAAATTAGGATAGCTCCTCCCTAGGCCACTCAAGCCAGTTTTAGAGCCAAGTTGCTACACTGGATGCATGGTGCAAAAGCAGTCACAGAAGAAAACCTGGCCCCCTATTCTCAAGGGTCACTAAGACCTGTATAAGACCTAGCTGAGGGCCAGGAACCGGTCTGCACCAACTGCAGTGTCATTAGCCACCTCCACCTAACCTCTTTAGATTGCCTGGGCTTTTACAGCAGCCGTTGTCCTACAACGGGCTGGGAGAAAGCTGTCTGGTGCACAAGCCGGGAAGAGGTTGCTCCTCTGAACTTCCAGTGGCTGGTGTCAATGAGCAATTCAACATATCAAGCATCTGTCTGCTCAGAGCACTTGGTAGATCGGCTGATTAAAGTGCATAGCTACCCTTTCGAGTGCTGCTATCCTTGTCCTTCAGATGAGAGAACCGAGTCAAAATGACTTGCCCGGGAGAGCAAGCAAGTGAGAATAAATACCAGTGCTGGAACGGAAGGCTAGGTCTGGTGCTCTGACTGTACCTTTCTGTCAACTATCAACTCATTTGATCCCATCTTCACTCAACAGTAGCAGATAAGTGAGGCAAGGATGGAAACGGTTCAGGAATTTCAGATGTGGGATAGAAAGGTTGTTTCTGAACCAACCCAGCAACCACGTGATTTATTTGAGCCAACATGACGGAGGTCAAGGCCTGATTTCCCACTCCCAGCATCGTCTTCCTCAAGACAGCAGGAGCTGGCGGCACCATGGTGGCAAAGCTCGGATGGATCGTCTCGTGCTCCTCAGCAGTGACTGATGGGGCTCAAGTTCAGTCCTCTAAAGTTGGACTAATGATCAAAGGGGACTAAAGAGAGGTCGGTGTAATGAAAAACCCTCAGGAGTACCCCAGGGACAGAGCTGAAAACAAGAGAGGTTCCAGTCTACAAGGCCCTTATAGGATGTCAATATGCTACGATGTTAGGTCATTACCGGCGTAGCTCATTCTCATTTCCCAGGCATCCTGCCAACACAGTGACAAGTGAATTGGCAGCTGATGTTAGAAGCTACCACTGGTATTAGCTGCCGGTCTCAACACAAATGGGGCACGGACCAAAGATGGATGCAGCTTTTCTACTAGAGGGTATTTTTAGAACAGTTGAAAAGCACGAAGAAAATAAAAACATCATAAACTCAGAGCGTTAACGTTGCATAACGTAGCCTATGTCCGGGCCCCCTAGGAGCAGCATAATCTCGGAAGTGCCATTCCACTTATGTAAAGAGACGGTGTGATTTATCAATATAATGGACAGTGATGAAGATGGATTAATTTGGATTACAGAACCAGCACTTTACAGCGGCTTTATGCAGAACACATAATTACACACACAAATCCTAATTGAGACATTGTTTTGATTGTGGAATGAATGAGCAGCAGCGTGCAGGAAGCATCTGATGCTCAGGGGGGCTCATCGCCACAGGACGAGACCACAGCAGGATGGGGTTGCCTTTAAAGGCACCTTGAGGACTGGCCCTATTCTGTCCCTTCGTCACGTTCCCTCTCTAAAGGACAACGCCCCTGTTTGAGAAGCCCCTCGCCAACACCACCGCAGAAAAGAGGGAAGCAAAATTGTAACGAGTTAAAAAAAAACATAAAAAATCACCATTGTATGTGATCTCTGATCACACCTCTTCTTTGTACCTGTTCCTGATCCCACTATGTCCCTGCTGGGCGACTCGGACATGGCATCAGCCAGACGCTCTCGAAGACCCTCCTCGGTGTGCTCGATGGAAGACATGTGACGGAGACCGAAGCTCTCCGGCCAGCTCCCGCAGACTTCCAGCAGGGTCACGCTCCGATCAAAGGCACCTTGAACGAGAAACGGGAGACACGCATTGGCGAGGGTAGGCACCAACGCTGAAGCTCTGCACCGCGACTCGTCCGCACGGCGATAATCTACGAGAGAGGAAGCGCCATTTTGGTCAGGCGCTCACCATGTACCTGGAAGCTGGGGGTTGGCCCATTCATTGAAATCACGATGGTAAAATATGCATCGACAATAAAATCTTGGGCCATTTAAAAGCAAAACTTTAACTGTCAAGTTACATTTGGTAGTCAGCAGAACTACACGAGGGAAAATCCTGCTTCAGATGAAACAGATTCACATCCCCATTTATTTTTTTTAAAAAATGGTATCTATGTCACTAAGAGTATAACCAATTTTTAAGAACAATCTGTATTTTCTTCCCCTGCGCAGTAGATGAACTACGGTCTTTCCTAGCGAACCCAGCTCATCTTTGCTAAAAGCCACAATTTTCAATCCATTTTACTTTCATGCGTCAGCTCAATGCCAATATATTTGGGCCACCAACAACTATTTTGGAGTGGAAAGGGCAATGTTAATTTGGTTTTGGAAAATATCTCCCGGTTGGAATTTAAAAAAAAATTAAATAAAAAACAGGGGGTGGAGGAGGGACTTCTCTCCTTGGTCTACGGATCTGTGCGATTTTTTTGTGTTTCTACAAAAATGACATTTTAGGCCAAATTAAGCTTAGCAGGGCCCCTTTAATCAGTGATGCAATACGGAAGATATTGGCTGCTCGGATGGAGTTAAAGTATCTGGAAGAGACGCTTAAAATAATTCCTTAACTTGCTGTTGTTTCCTAAATCAAAATAGTACAGGATGTTCTCCTAAATGCAAAGATTAGATTCTGAATCCACGATCACTTCAAAGTACAAATTAAAATTATTCAACTTTATTATACAGCAAGTCTGCTGTGAAGGCCTACTTTAAATCATTCCCACTTGGAACAAGATTACAGTTATGCTTTGTTGCTTCAAGCACATACCATTTACTCAACTATTAGGTAACTGAATATGCAGCATTTATTGTGCCTGGTTTCTGCCAGCCTACAGAGAGGAAAAAATGCAAATGCCAATGTTTCTCAAAGTTAAAAGTACATGAAACACGTCCTTGTTATCAGGCCTTTGGTTCTCCCCTTTGATCAGCCGTCAGAAACTATCTACACTTGTACGCTGTGACTGTACAGCTTCACAGCACACTCTCTGCCAATGACAGGTGGTAATAGAAAGGGTGAGAGACCAAGGCCTGCGGCAGGCGTCCCTTCCTCTGATAACGTCCAAAGTACTGGGTGATAACCGTTAGTAAACACTCGGGCAGCCAGTTAATCCATACATCAGCAAAGAGGGGCAGATAATTTTGAACTCTAATGGCACGGACAAAAGCACAGGGGCTGGCATGCAGGGATTTATATGGGCTGCAACGGGGACTTCCGGCTCCTGAATTTCATCAGCGTGCGCAAACTTTGATTTATCTCTTTGCCTGGCTGCGGAGCAGATTCCTGGCACTAGACAACCATCAGCACTAAAAAAGACCTCTGCGGCCCGGGTCTGGGGCTGGTGTGTGACCCGTGCACTTGAACTCTGGCCACGTCCCAGGCTGAGCCCATAGGAGGGATGACCGAAGAGTTCAGCTTATTAATGGACCTTTCAGTGTATAGGGCTTTTTCCGTCTTCAAGCTTGTCAGAAAAAACCCCCAAGTAAAGCCCGTCTGAGAACATGCAGTGAGGCTGGGGAAGTCGGTATTTAAATCGGTGTGATGTTTCCATGTTGTCAGCGCCCCCACCTTTTGCGTGTGCGCTTAATCTTCTTTTATCAGAAGAGTGGGGCTGGACTTCATGATCTGTAAGGTCCCTTCCAGCCCCAAACAACTATGAAACGATGAAAAATTGCTATGTTTCTCACTGGGGCCAAATCCAGAGCCGCCCCGCTCACCTGCTCCTCGTCAGGCACTGTTGCGCGGCCCATGGAAGGACCCAGCTAGCTCTCACGGGAGTTTTATTACCGAATGCAAACAACGACGAGGCGCAGGGAGGACTTTTGGAAGCTCCTTCAGGTCTTCCCTGTTGTGCTAGAGAGATCTAGCCTTTATTTGGCGTCAGCTCCAGCTCTGAAAGCAAGAAACGAAACAATTTCTGCCCTTCTGAGCAGACATGTGAATAATAAGGCCAATGGCTTTTAAAGCGCTGCCAAGATGACTGCATACATGTACAAGCAGCAACTCCAAAGAGCGCTGGGCTCCAGTTCCAGAGATGCTTGAGTGAGAGCAAAGGAGACAAGTGGAGCATTACCTCTGCAATCAGGCCCCGAGAGCTGCCAAAAGTTTTTAGCAGCAACGTGTGAGGTGCAAGTGTTAATGTAAATACAGGTTACAGGGATTAACTGCACAGAAAGCTTTCTTGTAAAATAAACTCAAAAAGCTCAGGGAGCTCTCTGCCTTTATCTTTTCCTCCCTTTTCACTCCTTTTCCATACTACATGTGCAGGGAGGGCAATGTGTTTCGTCAGGTTGAGTCACCCAGCCAGCCCTCTGAATAACACCTGGAGGAGAACAAAAAAAGGAGCTTTATGTCTGGTACTGGGCTCCATAAATGGATTCGGACTTTATTATAACGCTGGCTTATTAAACCGGATGCACACAAGGAGCAGCACACAGATGAACTGCAAAAGAGCTAAGGAGGCGAGACGTTGGGCGGGAGCGTGAAATGGAGCCTAATCTCAAACATCTGGGTCCTTTGGTACTGTGAGGCCCAAATCACCGCTTTTGGCCAGCGTCGAGGTAGAAAGCTAATCCTGAATTCCTTCAGGGACAGCAAGCCTAGTTGCCATGTGCCTTTTGATCTCTCTGGCCACTGCCTCAGAAATCAAAGTCAGTCCTGGATATTTTTAAGCTTTTGGACAACGGTTTTGAGAAGCCTGTGAGCTCACGGATGGACGCGTTGTTTCCGAGGAGCCTTGAGACGCTTTGCCTTTTGTGCCCCGTGCTCGAGCAAGCTAAGGGTATCATATTTTAACTAAGAGTGGCTAATCCAATCCCTGCTATTTATGAAATCGATAATCTCATTTTGCTATTTGCTCCACCCTCTCTTCGTCAAAAAAGTTCTGGCATTTCAGCGGGCAGCTTATCAAAAGTCTCATCACTGAGCAGGGCATGGCTTACGAATATGATTTAAGACATTATTCTGCTCTCAAAATCCAGTGCAGCCAGACGTTAAAGGCAATACCAATAAGGTAAGAACAAACATGGTGCTGATTAAAGGGATTACAAAATGTTTGACGAAATGCAGACTCTGAAGGGCGTGTTTACTGACAAACTGCTGAAACCTTCCTGACAGCCACAAAAATAAGAGCATGATGTGTGAAATCAAGCCTTTTCTGCTATGCTTCATCCAGTGCTATCATTTCTTTGGCGGTGCACCAGGCTCCAACGCAGCACAAGAAATTAATCTGGGACCAGCAAAGCAAGGTACTCATTCAGCATCCCAAAATGACGGGTAACACCTTGGTTTCGCGGAGGTCAATCTAAAAAGTTCCTGCGACTTCAAATGGGTCCAGCGTGTCGCCATATGGGTTGGCTTCTTTGAACTGAACAGAAGGTTTCTCTCTTTCCTTACATACTAGAGATTGGACCACTGTGACTCCCGCCATACACGGGTGAGACGTTCGCTGTCCAACTCATGGGGCCAAATCATCTGCAATAACACAAATGAATGATGACAAGCCACACTAAACCTGAAGAAGCAGAGCTGGATCTTAAGTTTGCACCGGGGGTGCAAATGCCTTGCTCTGTCGTTGCAGTACGTTTATCCTGCCCCAGAACGGCATGGGGTAATTCTGCTCCGTGATACAGCCGTGCAACACCCTCCGATTTTAACAGGAGTCTACAAGCAGAGTTTGCTATTATACACCTCATTTTCTTCACCCGCTAGCCATGCATTTTAATAACTCTACTGATGTCCTTACAGCTGCACCCTTGCAAGTAAGAGCAGAATCAGGACCCGTGTCTTTCACTTAATTCCTCAAATGTGCCGGTGGGTCGGTTTCTGTTATTATTCATCCCAAAACGCCTGGCTTATAACATTGCAATGGTTTCAGAGATTCAGTATAGAAGGAAATCAATTTAAGTTCCACAGTGGGGGAAAAAAAATCCCAAGGCCTTGGAAACCTCCTTTATTTTCACAGTTAATGACACCAACCAAAGACCAAGAAAACCGTATCAGCTCATTTTCTTCCCTGAAAAAAGAATTAGTAGTAAAACACATTTAAAAATATTTTAATACTTCTAGTATGTTATTTTTCCAAGTCAAAATAGCTAAGCTGAATCTTTCACCCTGATTCTTTCATTCAAAAGCCAGGGGAAATTTTTGTGTGCGCGTGTGTGTGAAACCTCTGGCCAGCTTTGGTTAAAATATGAAATCAAGTAGCTCCATTTCCTGCCTTCCAAGGCACCGTAAATCAAAACAGAATCTGCGCTCCAAAAACACAGTTACGGGTCTATTAAATGGTTTGACAGTTTTGAGCCTCACCTTCCCCACTGCAGCATCAGCACGAGGAAAATAACAGGGTAAATAGAAAAGGGAAAGGGCCTGCGAATTTTAACCAATAAAAGATGCGTCCCCAAAAGAGACATCGACTTGACTCCCAGTCCTCCCGTTGGCTGGAGAAGGCCAAGTCTGGAAGTGCGATCGAGAGAGTCCCCGGGGGAAAGGAAATGCTTCCTGTCACGGCGCAGTTACCTTCTCTGGCTAATTAAGTGACTTGGATGGACTTTGAAGAGAGTCCCAGCCCATTCTGGACCGCAAATATTGGTAGCCGCAACACGAGCATCGAGAAGTTGGCTGTAAAGCTACGAGACGGGTTCCCATGGGTGCGGGTGGAACGTCCCTGCCCCAGGTAATGAGTAGAATTATAGCATATCGCATTTAAAAGTTAATGCTTGAACTTTCCTACGGCGTTGCCAATTCACTTTCATGCCATAACTTTGTTAATCTAGGGGGACTGCAACAAAG